GCAGTGCTGGACCCCACTTATACAACTGGGTGGACTGGAGTACCTCATTCAAAGCAGTCTCTGCGGCAGACACTTGAACCCACAACCCACTTGTTATCACTGGTATTAAGGAGCTCCTGTTAAATGTTTTAATGATCACCGAATGAGGTGTTGCACATTAACAGTTTGATTTTGTGAATGAAGAGCAAATTAATCTTATTGTTCCATCTGCAGTGACTGCAGAGATCTTCCTGTAGATGAATGTTTCCTTTTTTTAAAAGGAACATTGTGTGATTCGGTACACATACTGTCCAAGTATGTTAAAACATGTACAAAACATTTTGTGTGTGTCTAATTTCATTATTTAGGACATGTAGAAGTTGCTATACAAAGCCTGTTTTCCTATGTGATGTAGTTTTTGATTTTCACCTTTTCCAAAGGGGTTTTGACCAAGTCAAAGAAGAATCAGGTGTTCCTTGGAAACCTTTTTGGATTTTGAAATGTGATCTGCATTATATTGCTCCGTTATTAACCACAAGCAATGTTTTTATTTGAGCATCAGGATAATGGCAATCATACAGTTGGAATTAATGGCATAATCTTTTGTTACAATTGCAGATGAGTAGCAACAGTAATAGGGGCACCAACAGGGCACCAACTACAGCGACACAGCGATTAAAACAAGACTATCTTCGAATTAAGAAAGATCCTGTGCCTTACATTTGTGCAGAACCTCTTCCATCTAACATTCTTGAATGGTGAGTTCCGAGTGGTCAGTACTTCCAAGTCAGTCCCAAGTCAAACAATTTTATATACAACTCATCTTCCTATTGTGTTATTACAAAAAGATTGCGGTAACGAGATTAAATTGACATCATCAAGATTGTGTAACCTGAGATCCTGGGAAAAGCTCTAAGGATCATAGAGGTGATGACCATGAAGGTGCTGCAAAAGTAGACCAACTACTATTAAATGCCCGAATAAAGTCCCCAGAAAGGAATAGAAAAGTTAAGTCTGTAGTACTTAAAAATGGAAAAAAGTTTATAACTTGAGTTAAACCACCAATAATGAATTTGATTTGACTTGAATAGTAACTGTGAAGTTAATTCAAGTGAAATTAAAACCAAAGTAATTTCTTTCAATGGTTAATTGGCAGGTAATAGGTCATACTGAATACTGATTGTGCAGCTCCTTGGCTTACAAGTGTATTGTTGCTCAGTCTGTTTTTGCTATACATATTGTAGCGAAGCAAGCAGCAGAATTTGAGGTTGGAAGTAAAATGGAGAGGTCTGGTTTAAATGAAGGGCAACTGTAGAACTAATCAAAAAGGATTGAGAAGATGCATATTTGTGAAAGTTTTCTTTGGTGTTTTAAAAAATCCGTTGTGAAGGTTTTTCCATTAAAATGGGAAAGATTCAAATAACAGGTTAAAACATTGCACAGATCCACCTTACAGCTATTTGTAACTTTCATTATCTTGTTGAAGAAACATTTTTCTTTTTGTTGTATTTCAGGCATTATGTTGTACGAGGACCTGAGAAAACCCCTTATGAAGGTGAGTTAATTTATGCAACTAACATGCCTTTTTAAAAGTTGTTTCTTTTACTTCATTCAACTCTGAGCACAGTTACTTCTTTTTAGCCTGATCCTCCCAGATCTGGGAAGTTAAGCATGGCTGGATGTGGTCACTACAGAAATGGTCAGCCTCTGAGGCAAACTAGTTGTCTGCTTTAAGTGGTGTCTGTGGACCAACAACATCTTCAGTCCAGTCACCCAGTAGGGTGACTGGGGACACTTGTTGTTGGAGATGCTGTTCTTCAGATAGGACATTAAACAGAGGACCTGAAACTGGGTCATTAAACATCCTATGACATTGTTTGTAAGAGTATGGGTCATAAGCTTGGTGTCCTCGATCAATTCTACTTTGCTCTTGTGTCATCTGGCATCTGTAAATTTGTACTTTAGCTCAGTAGCTTTCCACACCTGATCAGCTGTGTAGGGTGGCTGCTGGACACAATGGTCACGTAGTTTCACCCAGATAGGTACAGAACTTTAGGAGTGAATAAAGGGGTTCCCCCTTGATATGTAAAGCACATTGGGATCCTCTGAAGTCTAAAATGCTGTATCAATTCAAATACATAACTTATTACTTGGTTCCTAAGTGTTTGGTTCCATACCCCCCTCCTAGCACTTTGTCTGGCTCTGTGCAACATCCCTTGAACTAGAGTGAAACATGCAGTCTTGCAGTGTTCGTCTTTAGTTTGCAATCCCACACATAGCTGCAGAGTTTAGGGTGTTAGGAGAAGCCATGCGGGTCTCGCCTGCAGCAGTACAATCTTTCTGGCCAGCCAGAAGCCTTCACTGTTTGAACCACTCTCCTTTTCTTGAAATAATTCACAATTGTAAAGTAGAAGACATCAGGGATACAGTTTTCAGAAGGCTGCAGGTTTTGTTACGACTTGATTGCATTGAACAAGAAACCAGAAGGGGGTTGGCACAGTGGTTTGCGCTGCTGCCTCACAGCACTGGAGCTCTGGGTACAGTTCTGCATCTGGGATACTATCTGTGTGGCGTCTGTATGTTCTTCCCATGTTCTATGGGTTTCCTCCGGCTGCTACAGTTTCCTCCCACAGTCCACACACATACTGGTAGTTCAGTTGGCTTCTGGGACAATGTGTGCGTGTTTGTGACTGTGTCTGCCCTGAGACAGACTGGTGTCCCATCCAGGGTGTACCATGCCTTACACGTGTTGCTTGCTGTGATAGGCTCCAGCTACCCCATGACCCTTTACTGGGTAAAGCTGTTAGAAAATGGATGCATGGAAGAGTAGTTTTGTTTTGTTTTGTTTTGTTTTTACAGAGTTACTTGCTTTGATAATGCCGTTTATTAAGCTGCAGACGTAGGAAGAGCTTTGCCTCTGAACAAAAGTGTTTCTTTTCTGCTTCTCAGTGTGGAATTACTCCTTTTCAGCCAAGGCAGCCTGACACAGCTCCTCACTCAAACTGTATCAGAATAGTTTCACATCTCAAGTCCATTGCTAGCTTAGATTTAAGCACATGTGATTAGTTAAGTTTTGGTCTGTGAATGTTCTGTGTAATATGCTTTTGTACTGAAGAGAATTGCAAGTCAGTTTTGTGGAGTAGATTTGGCTTAAACAATCTAAAACAGTACTTCTAAATGCAGATAAAAAGCATAAGGTAAATACAGATAAGTAGAAAAAATAAAGAAAGATAATACGCTTAACATTATAGTATTTCTTTACAAGATCATGGGCTTTTCTTTGAAGATCTGCACTGGATTGTACCCAGTGAGTATGCTGGTGTGCCCAGTTAAAATACATACATATAGCAAGAATGCCAGCAGCTTTCATTTACATTAGATTTACGAATGTACATTTTGAAAGGATACCACATATAAATAGTTTAATGTATGTTGAATGGATTACTGCGTAAAATTGATTCAGATGACAGGTATCACAGCTGTTGTGACTGTTTATAAAGGAGGGATGTTTTAGGAAATTAGCAATCACAGGACCTTAGGCAATGTTAATCAAGTCAGTGAACTTCTTGAAATTTCAAAGAGTGCTGCAACAAGGCGGGTGCTGAGTGTTGTCGTACTGTATCTGTGCGTATTACATTTACTATGCCAAAGGTCAACTTATCTTGTTGGCAAACACAGATGACAGGAAATCGTTACATCACTGTGAACACTTTTGTAGGGATCTGGCAATAATATCTGGCAGTATTCACTCTCCCTGTGGCTTTTTCTGTGTTTCTGTCTAAAATTGCAGAGCTGAAAACAGGGCTTTGTGTGTCTCCTGTTTTGAATAGAATTGGAGCACTGAGGTTTCTTTTTTTAGGTTTAAGAGTCTTGTATAAGGTTCTCCCCATTTTATGATGAAAAGAATGATTCATTTTAAATACACAGATAATTCTTTCCTTAAGTTGTGCAGACGTGCATGTGAAATAAGTCTAAAGATTAATGCTGTGTTTTGTACAGAGAATGTGACTCAAGTGTTAAAAGTCTCAGATGTAACATGCAATGGTGCCTGAAGGCCGAATGAAAATGTTTGCATAAGACGAGCATTTGAGGAAGTAATTCTCATACCCCCCCATCCTGTGCCCAGAAGTTTTCAGCCGTGTGCTTTTGACGGCTTTTTTGTAAATTGGCAACGTCTGCGCTGAAAGACTAATCTGTCCAGTTACTCTACCACATGAGCTGTTTGTCCCCGTGCTCGAAATTGAATTAAAAAAAAAAGTCCCAGGCACTTATGCACTTGAATTATTGCCCCACTGAAAAGTTATTTTGCTCTGTTTAAACCTGTTGAAAGAACTCCGTAAGATATTATGAACTTGCAGACTTGGTCAGCAGGTCTTCTCGAGAGAGATGGTTTGTGCCAAACGTTTCTGGAGGCCTCCATGAGGGTGGGACAGGAATATGGCAGAGGGTACACATGCTTCCCAGAGCCACATCCCCTGTGTGCAAAGCCCTCAGTAGGTTGCAGTGCTTTCGGTATGTGAAAAACAAATTGCAGTGCTCAGAGTAAAGCACAGGCTGTTAACAGGAATGCTCCGATCAGTGTCGAATGCTCGAGTTAAAAAGATATTGTATATCACACCAGTTGATTAAAGCGCTGTTACTGAGAGGCAAAGCTAAAGATGACTGTGCTTGACATTGTTCCACGTTCTGGTTATTATCTGGAAAATGTCCTATGTGAAAAGTTCAGAAAAAAAATGAAATAGAATGCCAAAGAGAAGCTATGTCTCTGAGTTTTTAAAGTCTTTGCATTTTCAGGGTGTCTGTAATAAGGGCGGAAATATTATGAGTAATTTTGTAATTAGGTCTTGATGGCCTCCTCTCTATTGTAACCATTATGTTCTTACGTATATCTTCCTGACTGTGTGTTTTGTGTTGTGGATGTGCAGTAAGGGGCAGAGGCGATCTAAGCTGCCAGTGTTTTGTTACTATTTGTTACTTGGTGAACCACAATAATCGGAGTTAATTGGTATTGTACACCAGGGAATCTGTTGTAAACTTAGGGTGAAAGGATTAATTTATTAGTGAGTGACTTGCTCATAAGTCCATTATTGCATCAAAATGGTTACAAACAAGAGAAGATCATTTGGCATGTTTTGCTCATTTAGTATTTAGTAGCTAATTGTTCCAAGGATCTGATCTTATCTTAATTATTTATCCATTAATTGAAAGGGTACTGGCCTCAACAAAACGGCTGGGTAGCTTGTTCCACACTCTTTGGATAAAGATGTTCTTGGTTTTAAAAGCACTTCCAGTTAGTTCCCACCTGTCCTCTAAGTTGAGTTTCACTCTTCATTATGTAATAATCCACCAGGTGAGCTTTCAGTGCCTTCCAGGATTTTGAATTCTTGTGTTCAGTCATGTTGTAGTTTTCCCTGAGACTAAATAGGTTCAGTTTCTCCAGCCTGTCAGTGTAGGACAGTCCCCTAAGCCCTGGACTGTGTCTGGTAGCTTTTCTCTGAACTGATTCCTGTGCAGCAATATGTACACAATATTCTTAATGACATGAAGTGACATTAGGACATTACAGTGGAATTTAAAGACAGCTTTTAGACTATTGCGTTTAAGCAGGTGTAGTCTGGAGTAGTTTCATTAATGTGTGTATGAGGTTGCGGTTTAAAGTGTATTTTATGTTTTATCAGTAGATATTTCCTTTCTGGGGTGATCTTTTGTAAAGAAGTTATTTTTATGTAAAAAAAGAGTAATATCCTATAGGTAATAGTCGATACAATTTCAGGGGGATCTTTAGACTGCCATTCCCTCAGGTGAGTCACTCCAAGTGTTCATTGCATATTTTGTCCTTGTGTTGCAGCTAGCTCCACCTTTTGTTCTTTTGGCTATAACATTGCAAAATGGATATTGGTTTAGTAAAAAGGGTTCCAAGATGATCAGCCATTAATTCCTGCTATTTAGGTGTCGTAAATAGAAAATGCAACTCTTTAGTCATGGAAATGTAAGTCAAAATTCAGTGTCCTCAAAGGTGTTGACAGCTTATAGGTGTATTTAGGCTGAAATAGTGAAACCGTGACCAGACAACACAAGATGAAGTTGAGCATAGCTCAGTTTTAGGATAGAAAACATCTGGGACTTGTATTACAGGGACCTGCAACACAAAGACCAGCCATTTGAAACTGTCTCCCCGAGATCCTCAAAGTCAGGACTGGGTGAGGTTCTTGGATCCACAGGCCAACAGCCGCCAAGTCCTCAAGATGGCCAGTCTTGCTGCTGTGTTATAAATTTCTTTATATCTTCAGACGTTTTGCACGCTTGGGTAGCAGCAGGTCCTGCATTGAATAGGATGAATAGGATGGCAGCTGGGGTTTACTGGTATGAATGGTAATGCTCAAGAAAGACACTTTGTAAGCTCCAAAGTGAATTTATTCTTAAAAGTGTTTTAAGTGTTTTGTGCATTATTGTATTAAAAAAGGTGGAATTAAATAGTAGAGGGATTTGGTGAGGCTTGTTTTTATCTTATCTTATGTATGTAGAGTTGACCTTCCTGTTTATACTGTATGTGCTGATATTTTTATTCCTTGTCTTTCTTAGGTGGCTATTATCACGGTAAACTGATCTTCCCTCGCGAATTTCCTTTCAAACCTCCTAGCATCTATATGATAACCCCTAACGGCAGATTTAAATGCAACACAAGGTAAGAACAGAATTTTCTGCTCTCCTCCAAAGAGAATGAACAGTGATATTATTTCAAGCCCTCTTCAATATGCAGGGAAAGAATTTTGTGTGATAACGATTTGTATAAATACATTTTGATAAGAGGTTCAAATCCAGTTCTCGATTACCATGACCCTTAGCAGGAATAACTGGCTTTCTCACAAGTTGTTCCACTCGGAAGAAACTAAACAATGAGAAACTACTGTCGCTGTTTTTATAAAGGAAAAACATGCGGGCCATTCTGATATATTCCAGGCTAAAAGACAGCTTATTGGTTTGCCTTGTACATTGCGTTTTTTAACTTGCATCAAATAGTTGCACAAGCCTGGCTTTCCCAGCCCCTAACAGGATTTAATCCCTGTTGCTCCTGAGCTGAGCACCACGTTGTGTCTTAGACAGTAGATAGCTCTGCCAGGCCACAAGACTGGGCCTATCCCAGCAAGCCAACAGTGCAAGGCAGGACATATCCTGGACCTGATGCCAGTCCAACAGAGGGCACGCGCACAGACACAGACACACTCACGTCAGGGCCAGTTAACCTGCCAGCATGTCTTTGGACTGGGAAAGGAAACCAGAGCACCCACACAGATACGGGGATAACATACAAACTCCACACAGACAGCACCCCGTGTCTGGAATTGAACCCAGGGCATCCGCAGAACGTGTTGGGTTTAATCTCCCCTCTAGTATTATACAGGGAGCAAAACGTTAAAGTCTTTGTACTTTCATGGGTTTTCCTTTACAGGTTGTGTCTGTCAATTACCGACTTCCACCCTGATACGTGGAACCCAGCTTGGTCAGTTTCGACCATCCTGACTGGTCTCTTGAGCTTCATGGTAGAAAAAGGCCCCACGCTGGGTAGTATTGAAACCTCAGACTTCACTGTGAGTGTCTTCATATTCTCTCTAAAAAATACCGTGTTCTTTATTCTCTGATTGCATGCACACCAGTGCGCTTGTTGGATATTTGTAGTCTGTTACTTAGCAAGTGAATGACGGTTGGTTTTACTTTTAATTGAATTTTTAAAAGGAAGTATCATTTTGTGAAACGTTTCATTACACATAAAGGCCATTCAAGCCGTGAAAAGAATTTTGCATCAAGCTTTCATAGAGTTTGCACTGATGCTGAGCACTGTATGTTAATAAGTGCAAGTATGCAAATAGTATCGCACCTTTTTTGGTTGAAGTTCGGAAAACATATTGCAAAATTAAGTCGGTAATATATTTTCCTTTCAAGAAAAGACAACTTGCTGCTCAGAGCTTGACGTTCAACCTAAAGGATAAAGTTTTCTGTGAGCTGTTTCCAGACGTTGTAGATGTAAGTACAAACTTCATGTGACTCTTTAAAAATCTCCTTTGGTAGGTAGAAAGTTGTTTGTACCCTGTGTTTTTTTCTCGGGTCCATCTGAGGTGAACATGACAATGTTCAGAGTGAATTTGATTAAACTCTGAACAGGTTTTGTTGCTTATCAGATTCTTCTGGAAGTGTTACTGGGCAGCTCTCCTCTCCACTCTGAAAGCTGCACTACTTTAGCACCACAGTAGTTTTGCCTCCTTAGAGAGCCCAGGTGTAAGTTGTATCCAGATGGCTAACCCGAAGTTAAGGTTAAAGCTTGCATACCACTTGAGGTGTTGTCTCACATGGCTTTCATTTATCAATGTGCTACAGGGTTTACATCTGTCTGGTGAACCACAATGTCTGTTGTTTTCTGTGGTTACAGCATCAGTGTTTTGTTATTCTGGGCATCCCACAGGGGTAATAAAGTCACTGCTACTGCAGTTCATTCTCCTCAATCAGAAACGAGGGCTCTGTTTGCTAGGGCAGGCCCAGAGATAAATCAAAGCAGCGTATCCAGCTTAGTATTACAAAATAATGTAGTTAGGAATGCCAAGAAACACTCTTTTCTTTGTTGAATCTGTTTAAAACATTTGGTTAATTCCACTAAACTTCAGATTTGGGTATCTTTTATGCATCATCGTCTTTACTCATATCACAAATTTGACTTGATCAGACTGAAATTATTGCCAAGTGATGTGACTTGACAGTCCTAAGATTGTAGATTTGATTGTAGACAGTTGTAGATTTTATTCCTGGCAGTTTTACCGCAGTTTGTCAGTGCACTTATTGCAGTAATAAAATGTGTGCTGCAGTTTTAACTCATGGTCAGTAAAAGTTGTAAAAAATTACATTGCTTCTTTGATAAAGTAATAAGGGGAGTAATATGTATCATTGTTTTTCTGCGCGATATGATAATCTTCTGCAAGACTGCAACAGGGTTTTTTTTTGTCTGACCGCCCTACAGTGGACACACACACACACATTGTATTTATCTCCTCCAAGGTTTGTTGCAGAGAGTCAGATCAGTTAACAGGCACCTATTATAAAATGAAAGAAACTAAAGGAGTCCTCCACAGCTGTTCAAATGGAAAGTGTCCTCAAGCAGTTGCAGGGCCGTGGTCATGTCATGTTCCTGTTCCTCTGTCTCGCTGTAGGAAATCAAGCAGAAGCAGAAGGTGCAGGAGGAGTTGAGCAACAGACCCCAGGTGCTGCCTTTGCCCGATGTGGTGCCTGACGGCGAGGCTCACAACGCCCACAACGGCCTCCCGCTCCTGAACGGCCACGTGGCGCTGGCTGGCGCAAACCCGCCCGGCCTCCAGCAGGCCAATCGCAACCATGGACTTCTGGGAGGAGCCTTGGCAAACTTGTTCGTTATAGTCGGATTTGCAGCCTTTGCCTACACAGTGAAGTACGTACTGAGAAGCATAGCGCAAGAATGAGGAGAAAAAACAGTGGGCGTTCAAGACCCAATCCAGAGGGTCTGGTTGCAAAAAAGCAAAGGAGGAGAAGGAAGAGCCCAGGACTGGAGGGGATGTGCGTTTGAAACGAGGGAGGGGGGTACTTTTGTGACTTTAAGTGCTGCAGTGATGTGAAACAGCAGCAGATTGGCTCATGGGTTTTAGCAAGGCCTAATAATGTGTTGGTGGAAGCAATCCAGCAGACGTTTCCTATAGAAAACTGCGGGTGAAACGGTCACGTGTTTTGTAATGCCACAGCTCAAATGCATTCGAGCGCTAAACTATTAAATAAGTGAGCGAAACATGTTGGGTTGTGCGATGTGCTCTTTTTGGAGAGAACCGCAGATTTGCTTTTAGTCGCACAGGAAGGTGGCTTTTCTTTTACTGCTGTGTACCTGACTTCAGTGCATTACAGGGCGACCCAGAGACCTACAGTTTTATGTGACAGGAAAGATGATTGGACCAATTGAATATGAATAATTTGAGGAAAGGTTTTTTTCCAGGGTTTTCCTTTTTTCTTCCCCCCCCATACTTAAGTATTCCCCCTTTCTGTTTAGAACTCATTTACCTTGCGTCTGAAAAGGCCCAGGGTTTAAATTCTGCGTCTGTTTACGAGGGCGAATCAGCTCTTTAATAAGTCATGAGCAGGTTGAAGACAAAGGAATTCATTCCTGTGCTCTTTCCCCTGTACAGCACTATATATAGAACTTACCATACAGGTTTTCTTTCGTGTTTAATGTGACAAACTACCAGTGGTAGTGGTTGCAACGTTTAATTGTTATTTCAGCCATTTTGGGGCCACCCTAAATGTTAAAAAAGACCCTTTGTACTGTAATGTAGTGTGAGCTGTGAGTGTTTTTTGTTCCCTTAAAGCAGTTTGCTGTTTTTCATGTGTATTGTGTCTGGTAGGATATGTACTAGAGTAACTTCTGTACAAGATAAAAGCTTCAGAAAAATAGTTATATAATATTTTGAAAGACCTATGTACAAGCACATCTTAAAGGCTCTTCCAGGTTGTGAAAACGCAGTGTCACTGCTGCTCCTATTAATTGTGAGAAAATATGGACAGACGATGCCACTTAAATTGCATATCATAATAATTTACATAACATAACGGAAAGGGATAATTTGGAACAATACTAGATGCATTGAGTGATTCTTCAATGATTTTTTTTTTCCATTTTGTTTAAAACATCACATCTCTTCATATTTAGGTACACATTTTTTTAAGTTTCATTTTTTTAAATGAAAGGTTCTGTGCAATATTCCACAGCAGTTTCAAATAAACATGGAAAGAAATGTGTGTTTTTTTTTAAGTTTTTTGTGGACTGAGAAATTGTCATCCGTTAAAATGTTCTCCCCCACCTTAGAGTCGTATAACCCTGGAATTGGTACATTTGAATCAAGGGTGTGCCACAATAGCAGAAAACTAGTCAGTGTACGTTACTGGCACAGTGTCTGTCTGTACACTCAGTTCTATTGTTTTAGGTTTGTTGGCACGAAAGCAGATGGAACTAATCATCCTGTCCTTTTCTCTTGATCACATTCTTGCTCGTATATAATAGACTTTAAATGATCAACGACTGATGCACAGTATCAACACTCCTTATCAGAGTATTCTTAGTTGAGCATAGATCCTGATTGTCTAGTTCCAGAAGCCTCTAATCTGAAACATTGTTTATTTTCTTATGTAACGGTCAGGAAAGTTAACAAACGCAGCCTTTCGTATTTGTACAGGTTTAATTACATTTGGACCTGTTCTGCTGTTTAAGAGCCTCAAATCAATTTTTAAAAAGGCCAGGTCAAGCAAATATTTCAATTTACGGCATCTGCCTAATGAAAGAGTGTAGGAAGAACATAACCGAATTAGGATCCTCTGCAACCAGTCAGTAGGGCCCAGTGGCATCACTAGGTTTGTGGGAGTGGGGTTTCTCTCCTTTCCAGCTGAGCGACAGCAGCTTCTTAAATCCTCCCGGCTTCACAGATCCTCGAGAGGGAACATTTTTAAAGGTCCAGATGGTGACCTGGACCAAAACTGGGCAGTACTCAGGGGAGCACAAGGTTTTGGGCACAGGGATGATACCTTGGTTTCTTTTCCAGACGCGGGATCCAAAAATCAGCTGACCTGCCAGCACTGGTTTCTGGAGGCTGCAGTTTTCCCAGGTTCAGGCCAGAGAGACACTGAAATTGCCACCGAGTCTTTAACCCAGGGTACAAAAGGCAAATACAGTGGAAATTGGTGATTATGAGTGCTAAAAGTCCTGCACTGTGGTATTTAGTGATCTTTTTGCCATCTACCATTTTGAGTGATGGCAGTAAATTTTGCAGTGGGTTTCAAAATGTGACACAGTACGTCATCCACTTGGCAGGTAAGACCTTTATAAATGAATAAGTGAATGGGTTCCATCACATTTAGCATTATGGAGCTTTGAATAGTTACAATATTGGGGATATAGGAAAGCAGATTATGCCACATGATGTTTTCAGGATCTGTGCATTGAGAATTTTACACAATGCGTTTGCCTAAAAAGAGCAATATTTGTGTCAATTGCAGTCAAAAGTATTTCATAAGTTAAATGTATTTTGCCTCACTAAAGCTTCAGCCTAAATCCTTTGATATAATCTGGCTCTGTGCGCTGCAGTTAGGGGTTGCATGAACACCTTTCTGCTTTAGTAGCTAGACTGAACGCAATCTATAAATGAGTGTAAGACCATAGTCTGCGCAAGTGAGTGTACTCCAGACACTGGAAGCAAAATGGTTATTTTAACATTTCTGTCCCTGCTTTAAAAGCCAATTGAAATTGCATATTCTATTTTTTACCCCTTTTAAAAACCTTGGTATAAAAATCATTTTAATTTCTGGATTGCTCTGCTGAAATGCTCTGACTGATTGTTAGTTCGGTGAAGTACATTTTATACTTCCATGTGTTTAACATGTGGATGACTGGATTACACAGGGCTCATAATGTGATCAAAACATTGACCCAGCTAGCAAACCCAAATTCCAGACGTGTCACTTAAATAATTTCCCCGTGTCATCTTGCAACTATCCAATGGAAAGCTGTTACCAGCAGAGGTGTGACATTGACATTCAGCTAGAGGGTCAAAGTTCTGATTTCTTCCTGGCCCAAGGTAAGGTGAGTGTACTTCGAAAACAACTGCGCAATGGACATTTAATATGCAATTGTTTGTGTATTGTTGTTTAGTTGTTCAGACTGTTTTAAAGAGCCTTTTTGCTGTACCCATGAGCCAAGCTGTGAAGCAAAATTCCTCTCAAGTAGGAAAATGGTGACCAATTGTATCTCCAATTAATATGGATTAGCCTGACTAACCAGTATATCTCTGTACTTCATAGGTTTTAAAAAGGCAACATTTGGAGAATAACATTAATTGTATTTATAATTTTTCTTTTTCCTTTTTTGTTTAATTTTGAGATTTGCTCTCAATTTTATTTATAATTGCTCCTAATTTGCCATGTCTTGTATATGCCGAAAATATGCTGTTGTACTGTAAAGTCTTTTCTTTAAAAAAAAACCCAACAACTTATTTTTTGTGTTATTCAAGCAACACCACTACACAAAAGCATTGAGAAGGTCAAGACAGGATTCTGGCTAAAGTAAAGGTTTTTGAAGGTGCTTTCACACCACAAGCAAACGGTTTACTGACTAGTAGGGTCCTCCTGGTCCATTCGTATCACAGATTCTGCTGTTTTCCATCCCAACGGAGCTCTGAATCGCCAGTGTGGATTTGTGAGCTAATTACGTTTTTTAATTGATCCGCTTACTTTTTTTCTACCCTCATCCCCAAGGTTCAAAAGTAACCTGCTTCAGCATATCATTTCCAGCATCCAGAACTTAAAGCCCTGTCTCTTCAGCTGGCTTTCTCTTCATTTTTCATCTGCAATTAGTCGGTGATCAGTTTATGGTGAACAGACAGGTAGGAATGAGAGTGTATCAGATTAGACATTTAGCCAATCTCGTGAGTCTCTTCGTCCCCTCTGCAGGGTTCAGTTAGTTACACTTCGAGCAGCACATCTGAATCAGTAGAGTTCTGAAACTTGGTGTCGCAAATCAAATTCGTCATCTGAAGAGCTGAAATGAAACTGAAACCTCAGCTGGAGCAGAAGGCAAAAGAAAGCATTTCCTCTGAGCCAGGGATGGGCAGCACTGCTGTAGATGACTTCAGGAAAGCGATTTTGCAAAGCTTGTCTCTTGTAAAGCAGGTATTCAGTGAATTGCACCCTGATATGGTTATGAAATGACAAAGTATTACAGTCGACTAATGCACGGTTCTATTTTTATTATTTAGTCTTGTTTAGCTAGACAAGTCAAGGCTATCCAGTCCTGGACCTGGTGGATGGTCTGTCTCCAGGTTTTCTCTTTAAATCAGCAGCACTTGAAAAGCTCAAGCTGCTGTAGTTACCTTGGTACCAGTAAGCCAGTAACTGATGTAAGTTATTTAGGGATGAGTTGGAATGAAAACCTATAGTGGCAGTGACTAACCAGGACCTGGGACTGGACATCTGTCAGTCAACTGAGAACAAACTCTTATTAAGTTGCCAAGATTGAAAAGTACTTAGAAAAATCAGTCCAATTTAAAAAAAAATAAGCAGCAATTGTCTGATTTTTTTTGTGTGTGAATCTGACAGTCCTAGATATGTTTAGAGAAGCAAAGCTCTCCACATCTTACTGTAAGCATTGATTTAAGAAACTTTTGGAAGAGAGCAAGTAGAGTTTTTTTCTTTAGTTCAACTTTTTAATAAGCATGAACAAAAATGAGCTTAATACCTCAATTTTAATAGACTGCAAATAGACTCGTTGGAACTAATTTAGAACGACTTTTTGGTTGCAAAATGGTTTCAGATGGTTTCGATAGCTACGGCAACCGCAAATTCAACTAGATTGAATAATTTATTAACTGTTTGGCTTCTGTAGATAAGCTTGACCCAGTTTGCAGAAGAGCCAGGGACTGGACTTTAATCTGTTCCCCACCTTCATGTCCAAATAAGGCGAGTTCAGAAGAGAATTCTAACCAGAGTGGGCTGAAGAGTTTTTAAATTTTATTTTAAATGATCTGGATATTGCTTAATTTTACAAACCAGACGTTTAATTGAATCGCAATGGAATTATTCCATTCCACCTTTAGAATGTGAGGAAGACTTCCAAGATACTCTGAACTGTAACATGCAGAAAGCAAAATATTCTATCAGTGTGTTTAATTTATATTTGTCATATTAGGTCACAGTAATGTTTTGTCTGTTACTAGTTCACTGGACTATAGGATGGATGAGGTGCTCTCCAATATTATCTTTATTTGGTTGTCGGGATTAATTAGCTTTACAATACAATCTTTGAGGTTTTAAAAATAATATTCTCTAATTGCCGTTTCTGTTTCTGTGTGTTTCAATACAGGAAGATAGAGAACTAATCCGATCAGTTGTGCCTTTCTGTATATCTATACATCCTTCCTTGTAGCATACTCAGCCAGTTATCTTCAAGAAACACTTGGGGGCTGCCTGCATTATCTCAGCAAAATAACAGTCTAGCAGTGACTAAAATGACCAAAGTGTGGCAGTGTTTTTCCATGGTAGATAGTAGTTTGTAGTTTTATATAGTTGTCAGGTCTTTCAACAGTCCTGATGCAGAAGTGGTGTAGATATAAAATAGGGAAACCAAAGCAAAAAGACACTATCCAGGACTCCAGGGAAAAATAGATTTAGTACAAACACAAAGACTAAATGCTGTATTCCGGCAGTGGTCTTGTAGCTTGTAGATGAGAGGTGTCTGAAAAGACAAATAAAATCTAAAAACAAAAGGGGTAGG